CGCCCTTTTCTCGTGAACTTAAGGGTAAAGTTTGAAGGACGCCAAGATTAAATAAGCCGAAATGGAAATATTTGGGATAGCGATCTTGTCGACTTATTTGTGTAAATAAATTAAGTGAAATAGGTACTCTTGCTGGAATTTATTTCAGAAGTATTTCAAGGTCATTTGGCCTTATTGGGTTATCAAATTATTAGTTTGCTTGTAGTTCATCATCATCAGTACCTCTAGTACGAAAAACTTTCGAGTTCGTTTCGTTGCGTATTCAAAGTGTCATCGAAAAATTTTGTATGAAAAATTAAACAGCGCCCCCTATATTATAGCCGCCCTAGGGGGCGCTGTTTAATTTTTCATACAAAATTTTTCGATGACACTTTGAATACGCAACGAAACGAACTCGAAAGTTTTTCCTACTAGAGGTACAAGTCATAGGAATCCGCATAGGCACAACCCTGTCTAATTTGCCAGAGCCAAATGGAGCCAAATGGAAGATTTGGCAAGATACCTATAGATGACCCACGCTGAACTGTCCCGCCAAACTCAATGACAGGGGGGCGCTACCATCGTTCAACTTTATGGTTTCCAACATGGCAAAATCGTAACCAGCGATTCGGTATTGACGGTGGCGCCCCGCTGTCAATGTCATCGATAGGACAGTTCAGTATTTTGGAACTATACCTATAGTTCCAAAATACTGGACTGTCCTGTCGATGACATTGACAGTGGGGCGCCACCGTCAATACCGGACCGGATCGCTCTGGTTCAGATTTTTGCCATGTTGGAAACTATCTTTAGCTTCATGTTGGAAACCATAAAGTTGAACGATGGTAGCGCACCCCTGTCATTGAGTTTGGCGGGACAGTTCAGCGTGGGTCATCTATATGTTGATTAGACCTTTTATTGTCATATTTCTGTCCCATCTGATCTGTTGATTGTAGTTAAAATGCTATATTAATTCGTAAACTATTTGACACGACAGTATCTTAATTATTTTTTCATTCAGGTTACAATCTAGACGCGCTAATTTGCGAAAATGGTCGGTACAAATTCGGGCATTTGCATACAAATTCACGGTAAGGTGGCCATAACAGCGACCGCGGCGGAAAACAGCCGGGCTGATAGCATGGACGCGTGCCGAACGTGATCGTTGGCTATCTTTATAAAAAGCCTTAGAGGTATTAGGTATTGTAAGTTATTATCATTTTATTCAATTTCCTTCTTATTTTTAATATTTTTTTTACAATGTAAATTATAAAAAAACTAAAAATACATTATAAAAAAAATTCTTAAAAATAGTTAATTATTATTGGGATGAGTAGGCAATTATTATTTCTATTATTTTTAGTTTTTTTATAATTTACATTGTAAAAAAAATATTAAAAATAAGAAGGAAATTGAATATTTTAGAATGGCTGAAACAGCTGAAAAACAACAAGGCACCGGGCGATGATGGAATCACGGCTGAGCTTCTGAAAGCAGGCGGAACGCCGGTACTAAAGGCTCTTTAGAAGCTATTCGATTCTGTCATCCTTGAGGGAAAAACGCCCACGGCATGGCACAGAAGTGTGGTGATACTCTTCTTCAAAAAAGGTAACAAAACCTTGTTGAAGAATTTATTTTTTACCCATCTCACTTCTGATTCTGTTTTTGAGAGTCATCACGAATGGTTTCACGCGACATCTAGCCTCCCGAACAAACCGGTTTCCGATAAGGCTTTAGTACGATAGACCACATACTTATCTATGGCAGAAAACTGAGGAGAATAATCAGCAACTTTGTCTGAAATTTGTGGTCTATGAGAAAGACTTCTCTCTTCAAGCTACAGTCTCTCCCACGGTGCCAAATTTACTATAGATATAATCGTTGAAGGGCTTGTACGAAAACGCCACAATGTCAGTCCGTCTCCGGGATCAGGACTCCAGTTGCAGCGAGGGGTCAGACAGGGAGATGTCATATTTTTAAAACTGTTCACTATACGGGTGGTAGTGAACAGTTTGAACTTTTAAAATGGGTGGAAGATGTTTTCAAGCTTCTGGACTGGAGCGGATTGGGAATAAATATCATCGGCGAGTACATCACCCATCTTTGATTCGCGGAGGATATCGTAGTCATGGCTGAGACCGTGGAGGATCTAAGCTCAATGCTCGATTGCCTCAATATTCGGTCATACCTTAACAATAGACAACAATGTGTGCAGATACAACACTACAATGAATCTTCTAGCGAAACGCAAACCATACGATCTAGACTAGTTACGACAAACTGGTCTATCCCACAGGGAAGCGTCCTAGGGTGCATCCTTTTTTTAATTTATATCAACGACTTGCCTAAAATATGCGATAATACTCTTAGTGTACTCTATGCTGATGATGTCTCCCTACTATTCGAAATACCAAATAGCTGCCCAATAAATACTTACAATAACATTATAACGGAAAAATATAATTTAATAAAACTCTGGCTCCAAAACCACAACTTAGAGATAAATAATAAAAAAACCAAAATAATTCAATTTAAACCACATCAAAAGAAAAAAGTAAATCTTAGCTCAGTAGCAGAAGCAATAAATATTGAAGAAATCAATGAATTCAGTCTCCTTGGCATAACTTTAGATACCCACCTAAATTGGAAAAACCATGTCGAAATAGTTAAATCCAAAATATCCCAATTTATTTATGCTCTAGGTGTCCTAAAAACAAACTCATCAAAAGAATCCGCCCTCACTGCATACTATGCCTACGCGTACGCGTGGCTGCGCTATGGCATCATCTTGTGGGGTCACAGTTGTGATGCTAAAGACCTGTTTATAAGTCAAAAAAAATGTTTACGAATAATTGTTAATATAAAGCAGAGAGTAACCTGTAAACCTCATTTCATTAGTGAGAAAGTACTTACTTTACCATCCATATACATTTTAGAAGCGGCAATGTTTATCAGAAAGCACACTTACCTATTTCAACAAGATCAAAATCCCCGACGAAAACACAAACTTCTCCTTCCAACTCCTAATTCAGAAATGTTCAGAAATAGTCCTGCCTACCGTTGTATACAAATTTATAACAAGCTGCCTGATAATGTAAAAAATATACCTAAAGATCACATATTCAAAGATAAATTAAAGACATTTTTAATAAGTAAAAGTTTTTATAATATTAAGGAATTCATGGAAGAAAAACATAGTATTTCATGTTAAGTTGATAAATAAATATTGTTTTAACTGTAATGTCTAACATTATAATATTTTAAGTTAATTGCAATTGTATTATATATTATAAAAGTTATAAGTAAGTAGACTTTAAGATTTATAAATTTAATTATTGTTAATAATATTTAATAACTGTTATTTTGTATTGCTGTGCCCAACCGGGTGTGCATTTGTATGTTAGTACCTAGTACCTAACAATATACAGTGTATTCATTATGTGCAATAAATAAATAAATAAATAAATAAATTTTATAACGATATACAAAGCTGTATGATATAGGATTCATTATTCTGTTTCTGGACAGATTTAAAAAGCTGTGCTGTCAACTAGATGTTTGACGTTTATCTGTCAAAATAAATCTGTCACGGTTTTTGCTGTTGCTTGCGTTTGTGTATTTTCTTGCAAATATTATGAAAAATCTGTAATTGATCATCATGAATCAAACTATAAATGTTGATCAATTAAACTCGGCACTTACATCACTAAGAACTTTACGATTGAGCGTGAGCCATGTGTTTGAGACGCTATCGAACGGTCTGCGTGCCGAACACGGTGAGGATGGCAAAGACAAGTTCCTTTTGGAGCTTCAAGAGCTTTTAAACAACGTCAACATCAATCTAAGGGATCTAGAACAAACTGTCAACGGTCTGCCAATCCCAACGGCACCTTTCAACCTGGGCAATACGACATTCCTAAGTCAAGAGACGACCCAAGACCGGCAGGCTTTGTATACCCAATTAGTCAACAGCTACAAGTGGACCGACAAGATACATGAGTACAGTTCATTCGCACACACATTGCTCAGCCAAAACTCATTGAAAAGATCCTACATTAACTCAGGCAGCACTAAACGCAGAGGAAAATTACAGAGTAACCACAATGTGGCCCCTCTGCAAGTTGATACTGTCATCAACAACATTGATAGATCTTATAATGATATGAAAATCACTATTTCACGACCATTCGCTAGTAATGCAGTTGTACAGATCAATTTAAGCCATGTGCTAAAAGCTGTTGTGGCATTCAAAGGCCTTCTGATGGAATGGGTCATGGTCAAAGGTTATGGAGAGACTCTAGATCTATGGACGGAATCCAGGCATCATGTTTTCAGGAAAGTGACTGAGAATGCCCATGCGGCTATGTTACACTTCTACTCTCCGACATTACCGGAGTTAGCAGTGCGGTCATTTATGACTTGGTTGCATAGTTACGTGAACCTGTTCAGCGAGCCATGCAAGCGATGTAGCTGCCATCTGCACCACATCTCACTGCTGCCACCAGCGTGGCGTGATTTCCGAACCTTGGAACCTTTTCATGACGAATGCAAACAATAGTTAATGTGGTATTGAATGAGGAGACACACTAAAAATGTTACTTAGTGGCCTCCTCCTTCAATATTTAAAGTGGGTGACAAAGACAATGTGACTGTGTAGTTGTAGAGTTGGCTAAAACCTTTTAATTGTTAAAAGTATAAAAAATAGTAGATAACTTAGCATATAATTTGTGCAGATGCATAAATAAATCATAATTAAGATTTTATAAGTGGAAATTAAATTTAAGGCATTTTGTAAACTGTTTCCTAAAATACAATGTAAATAATGGCATTTTTTCTTGTTTCTTTGTTTCCATAACACCGAGTAATATACTAAATCCAGTCCATAATTTCCTGATCTCAATTTTATTGCTCTTGTTCAGTCCAGTGCCCCAGTGCCTTTCTTTCTGTCCAACGACAACGTTCCGTTTTACGCTTTCATAGGTGTAGTCTGTGGCTGAAAATGACTTTGACAGCTGATTATGACATTTCTGAGCAAGTCACCTTTTTTCCTTGACTTTTTTTACCAAAACAAATTAGATTTTCTTCGTTCGTTCGTCATCACTGTAAAAATGGTTGGCGATCCGTTGTCCAACCATATTGATCACAATTACAACAAATGTCACCGTAGCTGTGTGGTGCCATTTTGTCCCAGTACAACTGAGAAAACTCCAGAAAAACTGTTCGTTCAAGTTCCTGCTGTTGTAGTCGCCAAAGAAGAATGGTTGAGACTTGCTGGGTGCCTCCCATTACCTCCTGGAGCTCATTACTTTTGTGAGGATCACTTCGACGTAAGTATACCAAGAACTTATAGGATTGCATTACACACACACAAATTTATGGCAATTTTACATACCCATCTCATGTACAAATCTCTACAATAGACATACTCATGTAATTTGACAGTGAAAATCCTATAGTAATTTTGTTTGGTAGTCAAGTAGTAACTTAAACTTCATTATGGTATGTTTACATTTCAGATACAACATGACATGGTAAACTATTCGGAATACAAAATAATGGGACATGTGCAAAGGGTCCGGTTGAAGGCAGGGTGTTTACCGTCGAAGTTCGCCTGCCAACAACACCATGAGATGTTGCCACTCAATGCACAGAAATCCAACAACAGATTCAAAATCAATGTTGTTCATGGACAAAACATACTTGCAATTGAGACAATTCCACAAGTCAATTGTGCTGAGAATAATATGTTAACAAAGAAAGGAAAAAAGAAAGCAGTTGTTTTGAGTAACATAAAGAAAAGGATAAAAATAAAACCCACTATCACAAAATCAAAGAATGAAGATGACTCTCTTGGGTCACATACAAAAAGGGTCATTGTTATCAAACCAAATTCAAAGAAAGTTAAAATTATTAAGGGGAAAGTTTAAGTATGTTTATTTACAACAAGATTTGGTTTTAATCGTTTATTTTGGAAACAAATTTTAACCATAATAACAGGTACATACATATTATTAATTAAATAATCAGAATATACGCAGATTTATGTAAAAGGTTTACATAGGGCTATTGTGTGATCAACGCTGCAGACAGCCTTTAGAACATGAGCTCCAATGGCCACTCTCAAAGGGAAGTATTGATCTTTTGCGTGTCCTAATCCTAAACAACCGTGTCTGTTTCTGCCCCACATGTACAGATCTCCATTGTTTGTGATGGCTGCCAGATGACCAACACCACAGGCGACTTTCTCCACCGTACATTCAGGATTAAACTCATTTCGACCAAAGAGGGCTGGAGGTATCAACGTTGGCTTTGCTGTATGTTGAACATTGGGGCCAAGCCCTAATAACCCAAAGCCCCATACAAAAGCATCACCATGTTCTGTAATTTAAATAAGGATGAATTATTATAATGTTAATTTGATCTTGTTGCTGATGTGATTTTAAAAAAATAGTTATTTACTTTTATTTTTAAGCAAATTATATTATATTATTCGTTATTGTGTAAAACAATACTTTAAGTGATACATTTTATCTGAATAGTTTGTAGGTTTATTTGTTTTTTGTACAGTAGAAAATTGTTGATGGATATAAATTGTTCTAAAGTATTATTGTAAATATGTAAATTAAATATTTATCAATTAATAGCTGTCTTAATAATTTTCCGACACTAACCATTCACAATCAGGCAAAAAGATCCCCCTGATGCAATGTCTTTTATTTTCCCAAGTCCTTTGGTGAAGTTGACTAGAGCATAGGACATGTTTACTTGTTGCTGTTTCTTTGCCATTGGTACTTGACCATACTCAGAATTTCCCCAGCCAAATAATTCACCTTTGTCTGAAAAAAATTACACAATAATCATATTTTTTTTGTTTCTAGAATACTTTTTTAACCATTTGAACAAGTAATACTGACCATTTAGGGCAAGCACACAGTCCACTGTGGATGCAACCTTCACAATTTTCTCACTAGTGATATCACCCTTCACTGGAGCTGGAATCCCCTGATTCTCATAAATTCCTAGTCCAGTCTGACCATCAGCACCCCAGCCACAAGCATACACCTTTCCTGACTCTGTTATAAACAATCTAAAACAATAATTTAAAAACTATATTTTCATGTTTTTGTTTTCTATCATTATTACACCTCTTGAAGGGATAACTTGGACGAATTAACCTCATTGTATGTATGATGTATTCTAGAATAGGCTATTATGTAAAGGTTTTACATAAATTTTTCAGCAGTTCAAAATAAATAAGTTGAAATTAAAATATAGCATTGAATACCTACGTATGATCCTGGCCGCAACAAACATCTGTAATGTTTTCCTTGCCTAATCTCTTGATGTTATGTGAGATCATACTGCCTTTATATTCCTCAGTGGGATTGATCTTTCTCCCGCACTGGCCATATGCATTGTTTCCCAGAGTGTATGCTCCTTCATTGTCTGTTAGAATCACAGTGTGAGCTCTGCCTGCTGACAAACCTATAATCTGGAATTTAAATACAAAAATTAAAAGTTAAAACTTTAAATGAAAAAAATTATAAAGCTTTATAATTTCCAACCTTGCTCTCCAAAGATTTGTAAGGCACATAAATAGGTGCTGGGCTTAATACTAGCTCTAGGGGATGTCCAATGCGAGGTGCGTGGTATCCAATCTGCGAGTCTGTGTTGATGCCAGTGCCAAACACTTTGTGCTGCTCATTTGTTTTGATTGCAGCCACAGTGAAACCGTAACCACTGGCTATTTGTGTTACCTAGAAAGAATTCAAGAGAATATGAGTATTGAAACAAAGATTAAAGTGCTATAAAACTAAATGTATAACACATACATCAAATCTCTCCGCGAAACTGGACCTCGTAGGATGCCAAGCCAGCGTGAAGTTATTCTTGTATGCCTTTTTACCGCGCTTGCCCCTTGGCAAGTGGATGCCAAGGGCACCAGTTTCTGCCAGACCCCATACATAGACGCGCCTATCGGAGCTTTTACTTACGGGGTATTGAAAAACTAAAAGAAAATAATATACATTTATTAAATAGAGAGGAAAAAAAGACCAACTCAGATGATTTACAGCAGTGAAGAAGACTTACTTGGTAGATCTTCATCAGACTCGGTCGATATTTTCTTCTTAGTTGTGGCATAAGCACGCTGGGTTATTAATCTACAATTTCTACGAAACAGTAATGCATTCATAATTTAAATTTAATACTTTATTAATTTATTTTAGCATAATTTTCGCGAATTATTTGAGGTTATGTTCAATTCAATGTTGTGACATTTGCTTTTTTTATTTTCGATCCGAACCGAAACCGAACGGACGTTCCGTTCTTCGTCATTTCCGCACTAATTTCCGAAAACACGACTTGAATCAAGGAATCATGAAAACAAAATGCAAATTATTATAACGTTAACGTAATCATTATCAATACGTGAAATACATAATCAACAGCGTTGGATGGGCCTTGTGCCACCTGAGTTTGAATATCAAATTTTTCAAAACCACCCACCAATTTTATTTCTACATTTAGTTGCAAAAAATATTCTTTCAAATAAAACTCAAATGACCATATAACACCAATATTTATTGATAGTAATAAATACATAAATGACTGGGGATTACATGTTTACTTAATTTTGGCCAGCAAGTTGGCGCGGAACTGTGTATTCTGGAACAGGGCTTTGATGAGGCTGCGGAGCTCCTCGGTGCGGAAGTGCACGGACAGCGGACCGGTGCCGTCGCGCCAGTGCGCCTCGATGTCCTTGAGGGAACCGCCGAGGACGAAGATCAGGAGGGACAGCTTGGTCCAGGACGCCACGTGGGTTTCCACGTCCGATGGGCTCTGGAAAAAAAGAAGTGAGGATATGGTTTGTGTATTGGAGATCTTCACTATTAAAGAGTCCAAGTGAGATGCATGGGCGTACCCAGCTTCTGGCTTAGAGGGGGGCAAGTCATACCCAACTTCTGGCCTAGCGAGGCAAGTCAGAATCATCATCATGATGCACCATCATGCCAGTGATGGTGTACGGATCTGAGACTTGGTCGCTTACTATGGGCCTCATAAGAAGGCTCAAGGTCACCCAAAGAGCGATGGAGCGTGCTATGCTCGCAGAATCGCTAAAATCAAGTGGCAGTGGGCGGGGCACATGGCTCGAAGAGCTGATGGCCGCTGGGGCAGGAAAGTTCTTGAGTGGCGACCACGAGCTGGAAGACGTAGCGTGGGCAGGCCTCCCACTAGGTGGACCGACGATCTGGTGAAGGTCGCGGGAGGTACCTGGATGCAAGCGGCGCAGGACCGGTCTTTGTGGAAATCCTTGGGGGAGGCCTTTGTCCAGCAGTGGACGTCTTTCGGCTGAAACGAACGAAGAGGTCACTTAAAAATTAGATTGATGGTGATAACGGGCATTAGTTAAATCATCGGGCATCAGGAGGGAGGGGGGCTGCATCATCATCAGGCTCTTTAATACAATAAACAAGGCAAAGTCTGCAACTATTCTATACTCTATGCTACCTGCAGCAGCTGCGGCGCCTTCTGCACCACGACGGAGTACATGTCGGTGAGCTGGCTGGCCATCTCCATGGAGATGTCCTCCACCGTGCACACGCGGTGGATCAGCTCTTCAACAAACATGTTGACTAGAGTTGACATCAACCTGCAAGTGGAGGCAATGATTGAGTTTGCTGACAGGTCAATAGTTTAAGGTTCAGCTAAATCAACACGTGCAGCCTGGGTGCGCGATGTCGATCAGATGTCGTGTATGAATTTGTGGCGACGAGTTTACACCAACACGTCCTGTCATTGGTCGCGGCGATCTATACACGCGCAGTGATCGTTATCACGCGAGTGTCACGCGTTGGTTTGGCAGAAGCTGTACCTCCACATAAGATTGCTAAGCTACTTTAAAAGAGATATAAATAGGATATTGGGTCATGTAAAGATTGGGCACAACAGAACAAATTGGTTTGGCACCTTTTTTAGGCATTTTAGGACCTTAAAACATTCTTGGCTGATTCAATATCCTCATCGCTTAGCATCGCTTATGCGTAGCATACGCAAGTCACTGCTTCAAATGTGATGATGACCGAAGAACACCTTTCAGCACTTAAGAATGATGTAGATTATCCAAGATTATCAGCATATTATCGTCTGAATATAATCGATGCGCAACTTGTACATTGAAAATGTTAAACTATCTGAGTGTGACCACTTTGCGAATAGAACAAAATGAATGACCATTTTTTAATTCGTGACGCAATGCGAATGGTACTGTCTGTTGTCTACGTCCAACCCCTTACCTGGTGAAGACGTTGTTGGGCAGGATGCCGACCCAGACGTTCTTGAGCAGGTGCAGCTGGCGCAGGCACTGGCGCACGGCCGCCTCCGCGTTGTCGCCGAGGACGTCCTTCACCACGATGCAGTTCAGATCTGCACAGAGTAGGAGTTTTGTCAGTGCCGGACTTAGAGACCCATAACCCGTAGGCACTTGGCCCCCTCATCTTTAACTTTTTAATAAAGCATGCCAGACTGTTTTGAGCTTCGCTTCGCGAGTTTCGCCACTGAGGGCCCCTAGACTGGCTGGCCCCTAGGCTCGGGCTTTGTAGGCCTACGCGGAAATCCAGCGCTGTTTTCTAGCAAAAATGGTAACAACAGTACAACACATACATCAGACTGTAGTGACTACACTATTAGTCTGATCAGTGGTTGATTTTTGAAGCTATGTCATCTGTTTCAACCAAAAGAGGTCCACAGGATAAAGTACTTACTGCACCAGTTTTTCCAAGCTTATAGCTTTGGTGGAAGGCTGTAGTAGTAAAGATCAGTGTGGCACTCACCCGAGGACCTGATGCTGTCCAGGATCTGATTCTTCTGCTGCCGGATGCATGCAAAAATTTCTGCACCAGATTTTTAAAGCTGAGTAGTGTAAGTACTATCACAGAATAATAATAAGTACTACGTACAGAAGTTTTACTTCGCGAAGGTATTTAAAAAAATGTATGCTCAATGTCATTAACAATATGGTGTAATTTAGCCTGTCTCAAGAGTCAAGCACCATTTTGTTGACAAACGTCAGTGATCGGCACTGCAAATTATGTGACATGAGGTGCCAAACTGCGGAAAATGGCGGAGGAAATACATGATTTAGCATGAATTATCATGAATAATATTAACTACTTATTTACCTCTCAGTGTCTTGAGGCAACTTAAAAAAGTACATTCTGTGTTTTTATTATTATTTAGGCAGTTAAATACTGCACATTTCTTTATTTTCTTCCGTCATACCTACACAAGAATACGCGTGCGTGAGTCAATGTTCGCTCGTATGTGACGCCTTGTCGAATAGTATCCTGTAGGTGGGCCATCGTGCGTGTTTTGTTTTCGATGTAAACTCGCGGAGATGAACAGGCCTGGTACTATCTACACCAGTTATGTAAAGCTCACTCACCCGGGGACCTGATGTTGTCGAGGATCTGCTTCCGCTGCTGCTGCATGTGCGCGGCGAAGAAAGAATTATACTAACTGAAGATCAGGCATTCTCATTCATCAGATGACCAAATGTTGTCCAGGATCTGCTTTGTATGCGGCCAAGAATGCCTTCCGCATCAGCTAAATGGTGGTAAAATGTAGGAAAGGTAAATGTATCTCATTTACGCAAGGATCTACTCTCTCTGCTACTGCATGTAGCTTTGGTGGAAGGGTGTACTAAAGTCCGGTCGCCGAGCACGTAGAATTCCGTCCAATAACCCCAAGCTACGCATCCTTATCGCTCGCGCGTAATCATATTGCTGTCGCGCTCGCACACTCATTGCGGCCGACCGTCGCACATTCGCGACGCGATAAGGATGGGTAGCTTGGGGTCATTGGACGAAAATCTACGTGCTTGGTGACCGGACTTTAGTAGTGAAGATCAGTGTGGCACTCACCTGAGGACCTGATGTTGTCCAGGATCTGATTCTTCTTCTTCATGCAACTGCACCAGGCTTTTATAGCTGAGTGGTGTAAGTACTATCTACACCAGCTATTCAAAACTCACTGACCCGAGGACCTGATGTTGTCGAGGATCTGCTTCCGCTGCTGCTGCATGTGCGCGGCGAGGTGCCGGCAGCCCAGCTCGCGCAGGCGCGGCACCAGGTCCACGAAGCTGATGGGGTAGTCCAGCTCCCGGCCCTCCATCAGGATCAGCCACTTGTCCCCGAACGTTTGCAGGTTTTGAGCGAGATGCAGTTTGTTGTGGAACGAAACTGTAATGTATCTCACTCACCCTAGGATCTGATGTTTTCCAGGATCAAGGTTGTTTCTTCTGTTGCTGCATACATGCAAGAATTTTCGCACCAGTTTTTTCAAGCTAAAAGCCTATACTAACTAAAGATCAGGCATAATATATCTCATTCATCAGATGACCAGATGTTGTCCAGGATCTGCTTTTTATGCGGCCAAGAATGCCTTCCGCACCGGCTAAATGGTGGTAAAATGTTGGAAAGGTAAATGTATCTCATTCACGCAAGAATCTACTCTCTGCTACTGCATGTAGCTTTGGTGGAAGGGTGTACTAAAGTCCGGTCGCCGAGCACGTAGAATTCCGTCCAATAACCCCAAGCTACCCATCCTTATCGCTCGCGCGTAATCATATTGCTGGCTCGCACACTCACTGCGGCCGACCGTCGCACATTCGCGACGCGATAAGGATGGGTAGCTTGGGGTCATTGGACGAAAATCTACGTGCTTGGTGACCGGACTTTAGTAGTAAAGATCAGTGTGGCACTCACCCGAGGACCTGATATTGTCCAGGATCTGATACTTCTACTGATTCTTCTTCTTCATGCAACTGCACCAGGCTTTTATAGCTGAGTGGTGTAAGTACTATCTACACCAGTTATTCAAAGCTCACTGACCCGAGGACCTGATGTTGTCGAGGATCTGCTTCCGCTGCTGCTGCATGTGCGCGGCGAGGTGCCGGCAGCCCAGCTCGCGCAGGCGCGGCACCAGGTCCACGAAGCTGATGGGGTAGTCCAGCTCCCGGCCCTCCATCAGGATCAGCCACTTGTCACCGAACGTTTGCAGGTTGTGCGCAAGGTACATGCAGTTGTTGTGGAACAGAGCTGCAATGGTGGTGAAATATGGGTGATATTGGAGTTTCTTAATTTTTTGAAAAGTGAAATCGTAGGCCACGTATCCACTAAAGGCAGCCTCGAGCCGAGCTGCACAATATGGCTTGACTCCATGCGCATATATAGCGCATTTACTTCATCAATGGTCTGGTGCAAGGGATGTTGGGCTACGGATTTGAATATGATAGGGGGGCCTGGGCGCCCCCTGAAAAACAATTCTAGATACACCAATGCTCGGCTCGCAGCGACGAATTTGCCTCAGGACGCGGCGTTCCGCAGATTGAGGCAGCGTCACTACTTGCTTTGCTCCCTCTAGTGAATACACGGCTAAAGAGAACACCACCTACCTACATACTGGGGTATAGTCTGCAAGTACTTTTCATGGTGATAAGGAACAACTGCATCATACAGTTCAAAGACGAGGCGAGTAGTGTTGTACAATTTCTTGGACACCACATCCGAGCATTGAACCGCTTGCTCCATCATCACATACACCAGATCCAGCAGCTCTTGGGCTGTTCGAGATATCATGCACCTTGGGAAGTAGAACAGACTCTTTGGGATTGTCTTATCCAAAATCTTTAGTGCTTCTGCCAAACTCTCATCAGGTGCTGAGCTGGACCCTGCATTATCCTCTGGTATATTTTCAACACCAATTGACATGGTCACACTCAAATCTTTGAGCATTATCTGACGGGCTGACTCCAAGAAGTACTGACTTGACTTGTCAGCAAAGAGAACATCAATATTATTAACATATTCCAATATTGAAAAATTCTCATCAGGGAAAAATTTAAGCATAGCTAAGAAATGCTGGAAATTTTCAATTTCTGATGTAATTACACCATAGGTCTGAAGCTCATTAATGTTATTCGGTATTGTGTGAATGAGACAGTCCTTCACCAAGAGGTCCCTAAACTCAACACTTAGCTGAGACCCAATCATTTTCATTAGGGTCATGTCCCTTCTGAATTCAAAATTGAGCTTGTTACTGAGGTAATGGAACAGCAGTCTTAAATTGGCAATGACTGCATCATAGGTAGGTTTGAAATCTGGTTTATGATTAATAGTAACATTCATAAACTCGTCTGTCTCAGCAAAAACGACGCACTCATTATTAATAATCGGTTGAATTACATCTTTCATTAGAAACTGTGAAAATGTAGTTACCTTTTCAGCCAGTTTCTTGCTCTTTTCTAGAGCGTTCAAGATATCAGATACGATCCTTGAATCATCTAAGTTAAGAGTAATGTTAACAATAGTCCTACGATTACCAGTTTTGACATCAGTAACAACTAATCTATCCCACTCGGCATATAAATCATGAAGTAAATTATCTAAAATTAGTTGGCCGGTGTGCCTTGTGTTGCTGTATAAATCGAGATCTTTAAAGCCTTCAGCAGGCAATTCAATGTACTGCAGTAAGTCATACACTGCTTCAACGGCACGGGTAAAGCTTGAGGCCTGCCGACCGTCCTCGAATTCCTTCACATACTTGCCACATTGCAACACATCACTTACAATATTTAATGCAAATTCAACAGACTGTAACTCCTTAGTGATATAGTCATGGCTCTCAATAGACCGAAGTACTTCAGCCATAGTTTCTTGTTCGATTTCTTGTCTACATTGTTCCATGTCATCTACCACAGACTTGCTCTCCTGTGTCAACTCAAGACTCTCCTTCAAAATTGCATCTAAATCATGATCACTATTACCCAAAAAGGTTTTTGTATCATTTTTAATTGTGTCTATTTCCTTAATTACAAGAAGAATTTTTTCTGATGGTTTCCAGGTATTCAAATCGTCAATATCAAATATATTATTTAACATACTCTGTACGTCGTATTCAGCCATCTTAGTGCTTTTTCTTCGATTTGTCCTTTTTAATGGTGGGTTTAGGGTAGGATTCACGCTTTGGTGATTTGCTAAGAGAACGTTTGTAGGTTTTGGAATGATGGTATTTGTTGGAGCTCACTGCATTCCGCAGCGTGTTGACGAGGAAGCGTTTATTGGTTTTTTGTTGTGGAGCTTTAATCCAGCCGGAGGGACCCACTAATTCGGCTCTGGCGGCGCCTTGGACAGCTTCCCGCATTAACTCTTCAACAGCCAGTCTGAAATGATTTTATCACGTTTATAGTAGATTTATAGCACAAGAACGGTAAACACTTCAATTTTTCTTTCAAATATCAAGCTCAATCTGTTTAAAACATACTTTTCTAATGCTTCGTCATCTAGCACCTTTTTATCAAAATTTTTGGTAGAATCTTCTTTATCTGACATAGTTTGGTTTAGTGCGTTTATTCTCTAATATTTATTCACTAAATTAAAGACTTAATAATTACTAATTAAGGCGAATAATCGCCAAGAAGACCATTTTTCGAATCTTTTCAGAATCGTAAAATTCGTGAAGCACGAAAACAAACACGTATTTTTGACATATACAAACATGCGTTCAATTTAGCATGATTTTTTGTAAAAATACAGTGTTATTTTATAATGCATATTATCAATTAATATCTCATTTTGTAAAGTTTCTAATTTAATTCTTAATCTATGTGCAAAATTTTTATATATCTAAAGCGGTGAAACATTTTTTTATGTAATTCTAATAAAAATTACGTGATCGTGCTTGTAACTGTAATTTTTCACGAAATTTGGCAAAACTGGCAATGATTTTGGACGCGTGGAGCGAAACGTCAATAAACGTCAGCCACGTACGAATACCTGTCATTTGGTAAAAGTCGATCTTTCTCTTGCAATTTGGTTTTAATTTGTTAAAATAGGCATTCAATAAGGTAATTTTAATATTTATGAATCCTTACATTTTACTTAAACTAATATATCACTTTTGACGACATAAACGCTAGTATTTAATTCATTAAATTCGGTTTAACAACTTGTGAAAAGTCGAATTGGTTTTCAGTGTTTCATTCCCGTTTTCCAGACAGAATGGCTGCGAAACTGTTGTCGCTGATCCTCATAGTGGCCGCCGCGGCGATGGCCGACGACGAGCCGACCGCAGCGAGGTTGCTGGTGTCGAAACACGTATTGAACAAGTACTTGGTTGAGAACATGGATATTTTGGTGAAGTATACGCTGTACAACGTGGGCACAGCGCCGGCGGTGGACGTGAAGCTGGTGGACAACGGGTTCCATCCGGATGTGTTCTCGGTGGTGGGCGGGCAGCTGACGGCGCAGATCGAGCGCATCGCGCCCCAAGCCAATGTCTCGCACGTCGTCACCGTGCGCTCCAACAGATACGGATACTTCAACTTCACCGCCGCCGAAGTCACATACAAGCCCAGTGAAGATGCCACCGAGGTAAGAACATTTTGTTGACTTTCTTACACAATAAACTAGCACATAATGGTGTGATAACAAAAATAGTACAATAACTTATTTATGTATATGGTTTTAAAAATTGTGATCATAGTAATTTGTACACTTCGTGGGTCGAATCACGAAAAGGCATATTTAACAAAATGATGATATTGATGTATTATCTTGTTAGAAGTCAGTTTGAATTTATTATGAATGAGTCCACTTCCAGTTATGTTATGCTCTTTGAAGTCTAAATATCAAAGGGAAATCAAATTGCATAGTTAAATTCAAACCTAATAATGCAAACAAATAAAAATATGAGCTATCAAAGTATGTGTAAGATAAGTTATTGTCCTATTGCTAATCTAGAAAGTGCTTGTCAAATCTCTTGCTGATAATATACAAACAACAACACAAGAGAACTACTTTATTTTTCCTTATATTTTATTTTCAATTTATCCTCCTGCACTTTCAAGAGACACATATGTCCATTTTCACCATCAATACCTAATTTTTAAGTTACCCCTATGAAAACAAAATTCCTGTTATGTGTCATGTAAAAATTAGGGATTGATGGTGAAAATGGGCATTAATTTAGCAAAAATCTAAGTTTCGATTTTCAACAATTGAAATCTATTTACTTATGAATATTTGTATGCAATTCTGCAGCCTGTAAACTATTACTATTTTGCAGACCATACAAACAAATTATTAACATTGCTAATAATTATTTTTTTCCAGGTCCAATATGCCATCAGCAGTTCCCCAGGAGAGGGCGCCATCGTCGCTTTCAAAGACTATGACCGCAAGTTCTCATCCCACATCCTGGACTGGGCCGCGTTTGCTGTCATGACCCTGCCCTCTCTCGCCATACCCTTTGGACTCTGGTTCACCTCCAAGAGCAAATACGAAAAGCTCGCGAAACATAAGAAGACTCATTAGTTGAATTACTGTAGTTAGATAGCAAAGACACTGCCAATGTAGCACGCATTTATTAGTCAATTTTATTGTAAGCTTAGTGTCTAATGAGTGATGTTATTTAATTATTTTCAAAAACAAGTCCTAATTCATTGTTACTAAGATACTGTAAGGATAGATTTATATGCAATGCATTTTTGGTATGATTGTGTTGTGGATCAAATACTAGGTAATGCTTGTTACATTAGCAGTGTCAATTTTCACCTTAAACCATTAGTTGTCGTTCATCTACATCTTTGTTAATAATTTATATGAACAATAAAAAGACAATTTTTATTTTTTTGTTTTAATACAAGGACCTGAGTAGCCACCACATCTATGCTGCATTTATGCACTTTGCACTCTAATTGCTATTGCTAATGTTACACAAACCACGGAAGTACGGAACCCTTAAAAGAGCAGAATGGATAGGCGACATCCACCTTGACCTTCTTACACACTTGCGCAGTGGCGGCGCTAGTGTCGATTCCATTGACCCAGGCCAGAAAAAGTTTATTTGCCGCCGTAAGTTCTTACTCAGCCTGCTAGTAAATCCGCCACTGACAACTAGATATTTAGAATGAACTAATAATTTAATGTTTTTTCGTTAATCTGCAAGGTCATTCACCAATAATAAAAGCTTATTTATACACAACTGGACTACATAACAAAAATTAAAATGTTTGTAAATTGTTACAGCATTAGAAGAAAGACAATTTTAGTTGTTTGTATTTTAGGTAAGTTAAGATAAAAAAAATACTATGATTTAAAGCATCAATACAAAAAGAAAGCATTGCAATAATAAACATGTGAAAAACAAAAATATGTTGTAGTAAATCGATGAATATCCTCCATCACATCAACGCCTGACGAATTATTTAGCATTTTCAGACTTCGGATACCGTCATTTATCATTCCGCGAATGTAAAATGTAACGTATACATTTTAGTTTAGTTTTGTAAAGGTTGAAACTAATTTAGAACGGAACATACGAAATGACTGTAAGTTGAAATCATTTCTTTAAATTGCTGTGAGGATCAAAGAATAGTTTCATATTACATAAGAAGTTGATAAATTCACTCTTTTTATCGTTTCACATCATGAATATGAAGTTAGAATGAATTTACTCAGTGACGCAAAGTGTTAAACTGCGAATTTATAAGTAATTATTTTATCAATTCTGAAGAATAACAGTGAATTAATCACAGAATGAACTCGCACCCACAGAAAAATTGCACTAAATGGACAGTAAATACAGTTTCAGGCTATTAATTTTATAACACCCGCGTTGGACTTACTTTTTTTCTGAATTAAAGCAGCACTGAATAAGCACTGGGTTGAGCTTGAGGTAGAGCAAGAAACGCTCTACTTTATGGAGCTTTTTTGATAAATTAAAATTCTTTATAAAGCTACCGAAGCGATCATGAAATTGAATTTGTGATCTCCTATCCCCGGTTCCTCGAATCGCAAATCTACAGCGTCTTGAAAAATACTACGATCCTTTCAAGACTCGTCACAATCACTTTCAGTTATCAATACGTCATTTTTTACGATCCGATAATGAGGTAGTAACACAAATAGGGAAACTCAGGCCGAAATAGTTGTAGGTAACTTGTATTCTAGCTGCCGACAAAAGAAAACTAAAGAGTAAATTATGATTTTCAATTGTTTATAAGTTCGACGAGATATTATCTCAACGCTAGAGATATTGCGTTTACAGATAGTTTATTATTATCAATCAAAACACAAGTTGAATGAACTTCATTAAATGTTTTTGTCACTTACTCACTTGTGGTCCCTAAACTTTGATTTAGATAGTCTACTACTACAAAATCAATCGATAACGTCACATAAAATTCAACAGAAACTAAAGTCGTTGCCAACACATTTTAACTACTAACATAGTAAAGTTACGGACAACCACACATCAAGGTAGACTCTGTGACAACATCTTATGTAAATACTTGTATGATACCAATCATTTAGCCACAAAAATGTTTTATACTGATGTGCTGTCGACCTTACATAAATTTAAGAAAACCGGTTTGTTAATACATCAATTACGCTAAAACTAATTTACAGAATACAATTATCCACACAACACAAAATTAAAATAAATAAGTAAATAAAAAGTAAAGTAAAGTAAAAAGGACGCAGGTTGGCCGTAGTAAGGACAATCTGGCCAGGTGGGGATTCTTGGATGGCTTGAACATGGAGTGCAGGTGCGGTTTTGTTCCCCAGTCGATGAGGCACCTGATGTCATGCCCTGAGTGCCCAAGCAACTGCACTCAGGAGGATTTGATGAGTGCTACTGACAACGCCACTCTTGTGGCGGAGTTTTGGGCTGACACTGTGTAGGTTTGTTGTCGACACGAAAAGAAGAAGAATAAGTAAATGGAATGAAATCAAATAGAGGTTTATGCCCTCTTCATATTGCACAAAAACAGGTACAAAAGGCGTTACGTACTCTACCAGTCAACGTTCAAGCGATATTGTAGAAATACAGTTGGTATAATGATAAGGGTGATTTAGAAACGAGAAGCAGTGTTCTAGGTATGCACAATAGAACTTATTTATTACAAGTCTGATTGATCTATTTCTATGTAGCTAAATCTTCAAAAATGATATAAAATCGCAAAGCTCTAATAGTGGCTCTGTGTAAGTGTGTAGGTATCTCAAACTTGTGTAAATTAGATTCTATTGCACTTTCCTTAACCACAAATTGAAAACAACAAACGTACTTAAATCCGCAGTGTGAACAAGCATATCGTCCACAGAGAATTGCATTGGAAGAATACAAGAATAACGGACTAACNAGTAGATATTTTAATCTAACTAATCCAGTTCATAACAGTGTTTATAATTTATTGATTAAACGAACTCACGAAATGTCCTTTCTATTAAACCTATTTAATTATGGCTTTAAGAAGGGCGTAGGAATGTTTAGAATATCATAAACAATTACTTAGAACACACTCATACAGCCGCACTCAGAGTCGTTTAATGGTTACTTAAGTCGTTCCTTAGTATAGATTTAAAAAAGTTCACTCTCAGAGTCAGTTAACGGAGCATTAGCATCCTTTAATGATCATTAAATTTAAGTAGAGCCAAACCTTTACTTAACTTAGTTAATGGTTGATTTTGACATTTACGTTTTGAGGTTATTTTGATAATTTGACCCATTTTGACCAGATAATTATTGAGAATCAGTCGCATCGTGTTTAATTAAGCAAAAATGTCTGATCTGAGTGACTTTGTTGAGTTTGTGGAATACGCTAGAAGGTTTAGAGAAGTGGGACCGAGGCGATATTTACGCGATTATTCTGATCCCTTTACAAAATATTCAGTTCAAGAATTCCATGCACGATATAGATTTACACCTGAATCTGTAAAAAGTGTTTTATTACCTATGTTGGATGGCCTAAGGAAACCAACAAAAAGAGGACTACCATTTGCCCCGGAAATTATGTTACTGCTGACATTACGCTACTTCGCTACAGGCAGTTTTCAGGTTAGTGTTGAAAAGATTGAATTGTATATTTTAAATATGAATTGCATTATTTTTTTGAGTTTGTGAGCATTGTAGGTACCTACTATTATTTCAATGTTTGTAGTAAGGTGTTATTTTTTAAATGGATGTCTCTTTTTTTTTCAGAAATTAGATGGAGATGTTATGAATATTTGTCAACAGTCGGTTTCACGTATCATTGCTCAAGTATCTACATTGATAGCTAGCAAAATGAAAGATTTTGTTAAATGTCCCTCAACTGCTGAAGAAATGAACTCTGTGAAGTAAGACTATTTTATAATGACAAAAATAAAAATATTTTACTGGGTACTACCTATTTACCGAGTTTCATGACTTATAATAATTGTTTTTGTTGCAGGAAATCTTTCTATGAAATAGCTCATTTTCCTGGAGTCATTGCTTGTATAGACTGTACCCATATTAAAATAAGAAGCCCTGGAGGCATGACTTCAGAAGTGTACAGAAATAGAAAAGGGTATTTCTCTATTAATGTTCAGGCTGTCACAGGGCCAAACTTAGAATTTTACGATTTAGTAGCCCGTTGGCCTGGCAGTAGTCATGACAGTTTCATTTATAATAGCAGTGCTATTAAGCAAAAACTTGTTACTGGGCAATTGCAAGGGATAATTTTAGGGGACAGTGGGTATGCAGTTAGTAATGTGCTGCTAACACCATTTTTATCACCCAATTCTATTCCCCAAGAGAATTATAACAGAAGCCAAATTAAAACGAGAAACACTGTGGAGAGATGCTTTGGCGTTTGGAAAAGAAGATTTCCTTGTCTCCAGGTCGGAATGGGCATTAAATTGGATACAGTTGTGGCTGTCATATGTGCATGTGCAACACTGCACAATATAGCATTATTGGTAAATGACTTGGTGCCATCGAACTGGGATGACATTGATATTTATAATGACATTGTGGATGTACCAGTTACCGAAAACCCAAACAGCAATGGCTTTACATTAAGACAATCTTTGGTTGAAAGGTTTTTTTCTTAATATATTATGTATAGATATATATTAATCTTTTTATGTCATCCCAGATCGAATCTTTATGCCGAAGCATCTCTCCAGTGTTTCTCATTATAATTATCTTGGGGAATAGAATTGCAGCATTACTACGTGCATACTACCTACATAATTTTCATCTACACAAATGCATTAATGTTTTTATAAATAAAAATCCGAAAATCAAACAAATATTTTTATTTTTAACTACCATTTTATTTCTTTGTTTTTAACCACCATTTGACTTCTTAATTTCTTCTAACTCAATTTTCGCTTTCTCTAATAATGTCTTCTGTCTTTGTTGTTCTAATAACGCTGTTGCTTTTTTAATTTCCTCTACTTCTAACTGTAAAGAGAAACATAATAATATACATTGTGTTGTACTTTATTTTAATTACTTGATAAAAAGTCACTAGATTCATGATTTCATGATTGAAACATAATGTACCTGGGTTTTCAATATTTGCATTTCCATTCTTTTTTTATTTTCTAAATATTTAATTCGTATCACAGCCTCTCGACGAATGTAGTCTGTGGGTTTCCGAACTTGATCAGCAGTCTTGGTCTTTGCTGCTAAATAAGGTTTACCATCTGAAAGAGTTTAAGCAAGCATAAAGTTATTAGATATCATTTTAATTTTTTAAATAATTTGTATTATTGGATAAATAGTAGGTAAGTATACTTAATACCTGTAACTTGCAAATCTTCGACTTCAAAGTGGTTATTGTCAAAGATTTTGCCGTCTTCCTGCTCTTCAAAACTCAATATTACTTCGGAATCTTTTAAGTTCTCTGTTTCCAATATATCTAAAAACAAACTTACATTAACAATCTTATCAGCATAACATAAAAATAAGGATGAACAAAACATTGTCATCATCCATAAAATAGTACAAGAGCAAAAGTACCTCTGGTGTCAATCGATACAGAAATGTTAGGTTTGTCTAACAAGTCCTGTTGTTGACTATTGCTGATTGTATCCAGTATGGTTCCGTCACTATCAAATGGGTTATTCAACTCACAAATTATAATAGGTGCAGCCTGAAAAATAAAAACAGTTGAGGTAGGGAGTACTTGATAGTTTTTGAAACATTTATTTAGAGAAAATACATAATGATACGAANTGTAACTTATGTATTTACTTCGGAATCTTTTAAGTTCTCTGTTTCCAATATATCTAAAAACAAACTTACATTAACAATCTTATCAGCATAACGTAAAAATAAGGATGAACAAAACATTGTCATCATCCATAAAATAGTACAAGAGCAAAAGTACCTCTGGTGTCAATCGATACAGAAATGTTAGGTTTGTCTAACAAGTCCTGTTGTTGACTATTGCTGATTGTATCCAGTATGGTTCCGTCACTATCAAACGGGTTATTCAACTCACAAATTATAATAGGTGCAGCCTGAAAAATAAAAACAGTTGAGGTAGGGAGTACTTGATAGTTTTTGAAACATTTATTTAGAGAAAATACATAATGATACGCACCTCTTCAACCATGGTTATTATGGCTTCATTGTGTGGCGGTGGAGGTGCTGATGGTCCGCCTCCAGTTCTTAATAAGTTTCCTCGTTCAGTTGCGCGAGCTTTACGTGTGTAGGCTTTCATGTTATCCCATGCTCTCTTCAAAGTAATAGTCTCACGCTGAAATAGTATAACAATATTTATAAATATTTTGGAATGAGTAAATTTAATAAATAAAACAGAATGAATTTCATTTAAAAAAATTAAAAAGTAGGTAAGCTATACCACCTTGTGTACATTGGCGTTGCTATTAAACTCTCGTGTTATTAAATCCCACGCTGCTTGTTTTTTGGAGACAGACTTTCCATCCGTTAATTTGGACTCCACGATTGGCGTCTTTTTAATTAATTGTGCCAATAGAGCCTTTTCATCGGCAGTGAAATTGCACATTCTTTTGCGTGGTGTTTTTGATTGATTATTATCCTAAATTAAAACAGTAGTTTTATATGAATGCAAGTTTAACATACAACAAATTGAATGCCACACACTTTAAAGTATTATATAAATGCCTACTTACCATGATATTTTTAGGTTTAGGATATATTTACGTTGAAAATATAATAATCTCTTCCGGAGAAACAACAAAACAGAAATCACAAACAAACCTTGTTTAATATTATGACATTGACAGCAGTGAGTGTTCCCATAGAAAAAAAAAGCCCAAGTTGCTCTATTTAATTTTAATTTAAATAGCTATTTCGCTTTGTAAATCAATAAAAACTAACAGTAAAAGAACTGACTATCAATCATATTACTATAAATAATGATTTTTCATATTTTAAATCCACTTTTTCACTAGTAAATACCAATATTTTTTAAGCGTGGCTACACCAATGCTTTATCGAAACGCAGTCGATAGGGATGGTCCGCCCTACGGTTACTTAAATCTGTCATTAGCAAATGAACCCTTAAGTTTTGTTTCTGGGATGAACCGTCAATTAAGAAATTTAATGATAATTAGTTAAGTACTCATTAGGACTAATTTAATGAACCTTTCTGAGTGCGGCTGTAACTACGTATGTGGCATGTTTGTTATTGTTAAGAGTCACTTGACATTCAATACAAACATGGTCAACCAGTGAGATATTATACATTAATTAGGTAATACATTTACATTAAAGGGCAAGCAAAAGACGTGAATCATAAAAACTAGCCTCCTCTTGATGTCACGCACACACAGCCCTTCAGCAAACCACTAACCAACCTGAAGAGAAAAAGATGGCAGACCAGCTTATTTAAGCAGGTGGTTCAATTCAACACGATTTAGTTGTGAACGGAATGATGATGTCACTATAAGTGCTAATAAACACGCGTTGATTCACGATACATGTGGCTACTTAAAGCCATAGTTTTGTGATAATGAGATGACAATTGATCTAACAAATGAAACGGATGCGGGAATGCATGAACTTCGAGTTCTACTCACTCATAATAGGGACAAACAACATGTAAAAGCAAGGACGGACTAAAGAAATCTTCGCTCGCTAATGACTTAATATGGTTTTCCCTATACGTTCAGATAAAAAGCTGAAAAAAACGTTTCAAACCAACATAAAAGAATTATTTTATCTGGTGAATATAAAGTTATTTGATAAGAGAAGCGTGCAGAATGTTCAGCAAAACTTCTTTTAGTTAGATCGATTAGAAAGTACCTACTTCTTGATCAGATATTACAATAACGAAATTACGTGCTTTTATTAACGGCATGGTGGTCCTATCCTAATAAATTACCCAATTAATTTTAAATCTACATACTAATTCGTTAATTTTTCAGATTGTCGTTTACATTGTTAGTATTTATATTAAAATACATTGTTTCCTTGTTCATTAATTAGGCAAGATAATGAAGGCATTCTTAATAGTAATTAATTTTAACTAGGTAGGTACTTATGCCCTGCCCGTCCCACATAGCGTATTTATTTGTACCTATCATAAGTACTCATAACAAACTGATAGTACGGTGAATTGCGGTCATCAAACATTTGAAAATCAACGTTATTGGAGAATAAGTATTGTTTTACACTTCGCGGTTAAGTCTTCAATAACGGTCTTCAGTATGTCACACACGTGCGTGTAATGAAGTGCGGTACACCACGTTTACAGATTATACTTAGGTATTTTACATTATCTAATTTTTCCTTCACTATAAACGTGATCTACAAATACATAATTAATAGGCATTTTACAGTCCACCCTAGTTTGTAGTCAGGTGATAATGTAAGTAGTTGATGACCTACACTAACTACTTCTTGTGTCACTATGTTAAAGGTAATTAAAAGTTTGTATAGAAAATAAGAACATTTATTCATTCATTTACATCACACACTTCGACATGTGCTGTGTGGACTACACATCATATCAATGATATTAATATTAATAATGACTAATCAATTATCACGCGATAAACTAAAAATTAAGGTGCCATTAACATTATGTTATCGTGTATTGTTTTATTTTAAAAAATTTATCAAAAAGATCAAAATACACATCGATGTTTGACATAATACATTATTAAATTATTATGATAAATAAATTTTATTACGACGGAATAAAATAAATTAATAAAAAGGCGTTAAAATCGGCAAACACTAAACTAAATCGATACTTAAATGAAATAATATATTAAAATATTTACGAGATAAAAAATATAGAAGAGATCTTTCATATTGCATGCGCGCAGTTATATTTATAGCTGTCGTCTTTTGCACATTAAATATGAAGGATTATAGCGACAATAAATCCCTATCATAAATATATAAAAATATTGCAATATTTACACATTTCCATTAACATAATAAAATAACAAACAAAACCTTATCAGTGAATGTCGTTTATCGATAGATCAGGTATTATAATTCCCGAAATGCAGATTAGTACTAATTTTGTACTAAGCTGCAGACGCGTCAGTGTAGGATCCTAATTCCGAAGGAATCATAGTTTAAATGTTTATCGGGTCCGGACTGTAGGATTGGATGGTTGTAGGAGAGGATGCGCCATAGTCAGGTGTGGTAGGGGTACTCATTGGGGAGTCAAGGGGTTTTGTTAGCGCCGGGGCGACATATTCGGGGAACCTAACAGTGGACTCCTCCTGCAGCGGCGCGGGAGGAGTGCAACTTGGGAACGGACTCAGAAGCAAGAAAGTTCCGAATGCTACAATAGAAGCCATCACCAAAATGATCGTCCTAGCCTCGAAACCTGCCCGCAATCCCGCCCAGGCTGCCATGTTAATTAGCAGCAACAACACAGAGATGCGAATCAGTCTCACGGCCGTCGAATGAATCCTGCCTCCGCCCACCCCGCTCATATCACTAGGCCCATAGGCGAAGTACAAGTTATGTTTGTCACCGATGTGCTTCAATACCATGTAGATCAGGCCGAAAGGCGCAATCAAGGGACAAGCTAGACTGTAAACCATCGAAATCGAGAATATTGCGAGGCTCCATGCATAGTGGACGCCGAACGGGAACTCGTAGAGTATAGCCTTCTTCACGTAACTCTTTTCGGCCTTCGACTTTGAATGAAGAAGATACCAAACGTACAGAAAGAGCTCCGGAAAGCGTATCAGTTCCAACGCGGTACCGATAAAACCCGAGGTGATGACATAATTTATGAAGAAGGCGCCCTTGTCGGCAAGAAAGACGCAGTCCCACCGCATCGTATCATTTTCATGATGCAAAGTCCACCTAACAAATGCTTCTGCACTAGCCAGACCCAAGGAAGGCAGGATCAGGGTCATCAACAATAAGAAAGAAACAGTTTTTGTCATAATAGAGTAATTTTGCTGGGACTTTGTCCAGTGAGACAGAAACTTATCAGAAAAAGCTACTATAGCTGGCATCACAGCAGCCATGGTCCAAAGCAATAGGGTTGGCAGGAATTCAAAGACCACACTGCTCCCTTTTTGTGTGTCCAATTTCACAAATAGAGTGTTGAACAGATTTACTATAATTGCTGGAGTTGTAAGGAAGAATAGTACAAGGAATAAGAACAGATTAACAAAGATAGCCTTGATGTACCAGACACCAGGTTGTACACTTAAATTCTCCCAAATGATATCTGCTGGGTTAGTAGCATGTGATAGAACCCAACCTCGGTGCAAGCTAAAGTTATTGATAACATGTTCAGCTAACTGGTATGATGGCAAGGTTAAAAAGGCAATACCCAGAGGATCATTAAGTACCATGGCGCGGCATCGTTTAGCTTCATCTTTCAGTCTCTTCTCTTCATTTGTATAAAACTCCAGTGCATCTACATGTGGCCCACAGAGGCCCGTCCGGACAGTGATGCGTTTTCCTGTCTTCTTGAAGTATTGGTCACTATACACCAGAGCTTCTGTCACCATATCCTTCTTTTCTTGAACTTCATTCAGCTTGTTGATGTTATAAGCAAGGCGAAGGTCAACTATTTGAATATGTGGGAAATTATGAGCAAAGTAGGCTCTAATCGTAGATTCATTTCGATCAGCCCTTGCTATGTTGGTGATCATTATAGTGCCCGTCAATGATGTGGGCACAGGTTTTCGCCCGGTGCATCTCCTCATAATCAACACTGACATAGGTAGAAATGCTATGCTTATTAAAGTATGCACCCAAAGCCAATAAGATCTCCCATTCAGGTTACTGAGAGTCGTTTTACTGAAGCCCATGTCTCCTTGGAGATTGCCCGTAAAATTTATAGGCAAGATGATTCCAATGGATATGATGGTGATGATAAACATGAGCGTGATGGCATGCCTCTGGAATGAGAGGTAATGGACTGCATCAGGCCCGCACTTGGCGAGCACTTGCTCGCGCGTCAGCCTGAAGACGGCCGGGAGCCATGTGAAAAAGCCCTCGTCTATGCTCGCGGACTCGTCGGCGCTCCTCCGCCGCACGAGCGCGTCGCCGTCCCCGCCGCGGTAGAACAAGTTGGTCCACCGACTCTTTGTCCGCTGCACGAGCGCCATCCGCCCATAGTTCCAGGCGGTTCGGCGTAAAACGGAGAACAACAATATCAAACATGACCATGAAATCAAGTTGAGAATCAGCGTTTGAGGAATCCCGTTGTAACCGAAGAATAAAATCTTTGATGTCGAATTTATGATCATGCAGCCTTCGTCTGTACCGTTGGATGAATTCGTAGGTGCGAATATATCGTCCGTAAAACTGCTAAAATCCATCTTGATGTCGCAACACAATCAGTCAGCCACAAAAAGAGAAAGTACTCACATAATGGGCATACACGAAATCTTTACAGGCACAAATATGAATATTTTTAGCATACACTTTTGATAGTGTTCTATAAAATTTTATCGGAAGTAGTCCAAATTCTAGTAATAATTACAAAATAATCTACAACACACAAGCGAAATAGGAATGACGTTTCACTGGCCGTCTGTCTTTGTCACAGATATGGATTAGAGTAGATACAGCAAGTTGATCGTCAAAGCGTGCCATTCCGATATGTCCAAATGGACATACATGGTCGAGTGATGTTCATGTAATCCGATTACAACAATCGGTTACGATGATTTTACGAGAACAGTAGTACGAACACGGTAGAAAGAAGATATTATTTACGGATTGTGAATTGTAATTAACAGCACAAGTAGCAAATAATTAATTAGAATAAAGTAGCAGTAGAAGAAGTATAAAGTAGCATTGTTTTTAATACATATCCTGCGATGTACTCTTAAGAGTTAAAACCATGGTCCCTGTATGTGGTGCACTCATACCGATCCCAAGGAACCGTACTTACTCATAACAATAAGACACACACTGATCCATGTATTCATGCACTTGACAAATTTATGTCTTGAAACGCTGGTAAGGTAAAAAAAATAACGAGATTTGACGAATTGTAAGAATTACTTTATTTTAAAAAGGTTAATAAAGATGTTTTTGGTTTTGTATTTAACAAATTATCAGTTTTATCGGAATTAATTAATTTTCGAATCGAGTCACACGATATCTTTCGATGACTTTGCGAATGCAGTACGATGATACGATTACTTTTACGTTGCGGCAATCACTAAAATTCGCTAAAATGACACTAATGACGTTTAAAAAGTGGCACGCTCGGCTTCATACAATTTTTGACACATGCTGCATCTATCCATATCTGTGGTCTTTGTTGTAGTTTTTTTTTGTGTCTCACTAACTCGTAATAACACGCAAGTGACAGCAACTGTCACGATTTCTCCACCAATAGGCTGTGCGAGTTTCTTAGATGGAAGAGACTCTATTGGCTAAAATTCACGTTTAAGTTCACAAATTAAGTTTTCAAATATTATAATAACGATAACGTTATTTCATTTTTAAAAGTAAAAAATTATTTATTTTGTTACTACCACAGCTGTGGTAGTATATAGTAACACATCTGTATCTGTGCTCTAATCCATATCTGTGGTTACTACTAAACCGAAAAACTTCATATATAGTTCCAAAATACTGGACTGTCCTATCGATGACATTGACAGTGGGGCGCCACCGTCAATACCGGATTGCTGGTTCCGATTTTTGCCATGTTGGAAACCATATAGTTGAACGATGGTAGCGCCCCCCTGTCATTGAATTTGGTGGGACAGTTCAGCGTGGGTCATCTATAGTTCCAAAATACTGAACTGTCCTATTGTATCCATGACATTGACAGTGGGGCGCCAGCGCCACCGTCAATACCGGATCGCTGCTTCCGATTTTTGCCATGTTGGAAACCATATTTTATAGTTAAACGATGGTAGCGCCCCCCTGTCATTGAGTTTGGTGGGACAGTTCAGCGTGGGTCATCTATACTGAAAGGACTTTAGAAATTGTATATCCGGGGCTGCCCCGAATACTACCTTAGAGAAATAATTATTTAAGCGCTAGACCTTTAATACTCAGTACGAAAACAAGCTGTTTATGGCGCTTTCAAACTTACAACGCAAATTGCATATTTGTAGGCGTTTTTAGTTTTAGTAGGCGGTGAATTGAAATTCTTTAGGATGCTGTTAGTTAGTATGTCAAGCATTATACTATCCGTTCGCGATAAGTTTGCCGCTGGCGATATGTCTATATTATAGCAAACTCTATTGAAAATATTTTTTATTTATTAAGAGCCATTTTACATTTTCGTGCGAAATTCTAAGATTTTGGAAGCATGAATTACTATCTTAAGCAACACCCAGAGATTATTTAATAACTGCGAAAGATAGGTCAATCCTTGGTGTTGACCATTAATGAAACGGATTTACTAAAATTCTTTTGCTTAATTCACAGTGCCCCATCTCCCACAACCATTTTACGGAAAAATTGCCGCAGACTCATTTTCAAAGTCCTGTATCTATTATTTATGCTCATATAATAAGCTTAAAAATATATAGTAATCATCGGACATATATTCTTGTAGTCCATTAATGAAATAGATTCTTGAATTTCATTACCATTATTGAGTAAAATCTAAAAATAATTTGGCAAATTTGAAGATTAACGTCACATTTTGATCGTGGTTTTTGGTTTAAAAACACAGCAATAACTGCAATAAAAGTATCCCAAAATAAAGAATATTCATTGTAGAATTGATTTCTACAGTTATTGTTTAAATATTAGTAACCACTTTGTCAAAATATTGATGTGAATATCAGTATAAATTACAATACGCAAGCCGACATCGATTAGTATGGCGCGAGCGCCCGTCAAGGCAGGACCTGTGTCATTTTTCCCGCCGTGACGTTTAGGGTTCGGACAATATTTTCATTGAATAATGTTTCCGACAAAGGTTGTCAAATTGACTGACATGTTTATCGTATAGTACAGTCCACTATGAAAATTAGCTGTGGTTTGTTTCAACTACCTATTTTAAAGTTATTTGGCACTTTCTAAGTGTTGAATTTTATGGAATTGGGAAAGAAGTACCGAGTTTGAAGCGTTCATGAGCAGACATTGCAGTTGAATATTCAAGTTCTGAATTTGATTATTGACGAATAATAAAATAAATCCCACTATCGATGTACCAGAATCTCATGGCAAATAGGGAAAATAAACTTTGTTGAGAGCAATACTGGGGAAATTGGAATAAACGATCTTGATACTATTTAATTTTTTACTTTTATTACTTTAATATTAATGAACATGAAGTACGAATATACATTTTAGGTAGGTATGTGTATGAAGAATGTTGTTAGACATCAGATTTTTAACATAGGTAAATGTTTTGGAAATTGAATAAATCGTATATTACTTTAAGTAACTAATTTTATTATGCATCATACTTCTAACTTATCACTTCATTCAGAACTAGAAAACGATTCTTAAAACTCCACTTGCATTTCTTGTTTTTCAATAAACAGATGATCAAGATAAAGAGGTACTGTAAATAAATTGCTCTTCCAGCATTTCAATGGAGAAGTTCCTGATGTTAAAACACTATATTTCTCTGAATGGGATTAAAATATATACCAAAATAAAAAGACGGTGAAATTTTTATTTAAATCGATCAAGAAATGTCTGAGAAATAAATTATTTATATTACCTACATATTTTCGCGTGGCACTGAAACATAGGCGGTGCCGTTCTTTTTGTATATGGCCAGGTCTGGGATATTTTAAAAAAAGGTTACAAAATTTTACTAAGAAAGAATCTTGAGTGACCCTAGCTGAAAAATTAAAAACTGCTAGATTTAAAAAAAATAACCTGTCAACAGCACTGGCTGGATCAGGGGTGATTTACTGTTTGTACTCCGAATGACTGTCGTGAATACACCGATCAAAATGGCGTGAATAGTTATGCGCAACTTTAGGGCCCTGTAACTTATTTATTTGTAGAGATATTTTCATGATTATTTTACAATTATTATTAGTTTTACTTATATTTATTTCAAGTTTATTTAAAAGAAAAAAATTGGAAACTTCTTCATTATTCAATCTTGCTTTGATGAAATCTTTTTCAATTTTCTTTACATGGTCATAACATCTGCACCAATTTGTGAGATATACCTGAAAACCCCGATAAAGCAGCTATTAAGTAAGAATAATATAAAAAAACCCAACCCTCCTTCTGACGCAGTTGGGTAATAAACTAAATGTATCAAAACATTTCAGTCCAACTTACTGTCAACTCGACGACGCGCTTTAGAATCAAAGATTGACTTTGAATTATGCCTTATTTTACAATTCACATTGAAAACAATATGCTTTGCTTGAACTTTTTAGACTTTTTCAGAAAAATAACAAATAGTCAAGAAGAGATTACAAAAATTTTGCAGCGGCTGACAGATTTCATAATTTTCTTTGACAGGTGACAGTTAAACCATAGACAATTGCCATATGAAAAACACACTTTTCCAATATTTTTGTTTGCCATGAGATTCTGGTACACCTATAACTCGATTGATGGTTTCATTTAATTTATTTAAACCAGGTTACCTATAATAATAATTATTTTTTCGTTAATTTATGAAAATATCAAATTAGCCCGTAATCCAGAATCCTGATACATAAAGTTAGCCTATTAATTTAACACAGGTACGACTGTACTCAGTGTTGCACTATCAAATGCAATTGACGCGCCTCTATGCCAGGGTTTTTATGTTCCTGGTCAGGCTATACCATTATTATTTTAATTCAAGGTCTCATTTTGATGTTGTTACCAATCCTTTAACTAAATAACATAATTAACTTTAAAAAAAAAAAAAAAACCGACTTCAAATGCGTGAAAACAAAAAAAAACTAAAAATTAAAAAAATTGCGTATAAAAAAGTTCATCCCCAATTTTCCACCCTTGGGGGTGAAATATTTTCTTCAAATTCGCATGAAACCACCCTTTTGATAATACCTATTCAACAAAAAAATAATCGTTCAAATTGGTTTATAATCGGCGGAGATATTGCGTATAAAAAAGTTCATCCCCAATTTTCCACCCTTGGGGATTGTTTTTTTTATTATTAAATTTAAATGGGATCACCCTTGAGGTATTACCTATACGCCGAAAAAAGATTTGTTCAAATCGGTTCATAATTGGCGGAGTTATCGCGTAACAAACATAGAAAAAAAACATACGGGTCGAATTGAGAACCTCCTGCTTTTTTTGAAGTCGGTTGATAAATGAGCCTATTATTACCCACCCACGCCCCACAACTTGATTAACAAGCATGTGATTCTCTTAAGACAATATTTTTCCAAAATAAAAAACAAAGTGATTTTCTCTCAAGCCTAGCCTACCTATGTACCTATTTGATTAAATTCTGTACTTGAGTATTGAATTAGAGTAGGTTCATATTAAATTCATATTTTTAAGAGCCCCACCCTTGTTTTTTGTTTTATTTTTGTAAGTAGGTACAAGTTTTTAAAGTATGATTTGTGGCATATTTCGAAATGGTTAAAATACCATTCGTACCAAAACCCAGCGAATGTAAATGCTGCAT